AAAAATTAAATGTCAAAACATAAATGTCAAAAAATTTTGACTGATAGAATTTTTTAAACATTTTTTCCATGTTCCTGGTATCTTATCTTACTTGGCATTTTTCTCTAGGACGTGAGTTCTGTATACAAGGTGCACCAGAACTTGCGCTCCAGAGAAAAGTAAGGTAAGATACCAGGAACATGGAAAAAATGTTAAAAAATAATTCTACCTATAAAAATTTCGAAGTTATGAGAGTTTAAATTTTGTACTATGACTCTATTTATTTCTGTTGGAAAAATAATTTTCCAAGTTTTTTTGCTACAGGCTACCTATTAGAAAAGGAAACAAGAAAGCTGTATCCTAAATTGTAACTCTGTTTAATGTTATTTCTGGCTTTCATTGGCAAAATTTTTGTACCTTTAAAAAACACATTCAAAATCATCGGTATTATTACATAGACATAAAAAATGTCAAAGGTGAAAAAATAAGTGCCAAAATTTTTTGAGTGATAGAATTTTTTAATCATATTTTACATGTTCCTGGTATCTTATCTTACTTAAAAATTTTCTCTGGGGCGCCAGTTCCGACACACCCTGTATTTAATAATTATACTTTTTCACAATTCTATCCTGTTCTTTAAACAGAGGGATCTAAAGCTTTGGGTCAATATTAGTTTCGAAAACGTATGTTTCATATAACCCGTTGCCGATATGTTTCAATTCTATACACAAAATCTTTAACTGATAGATCGCATATTACTTAAACAAAACACAAAAGCTTTAGACCAACTTGAAAAAAACTAAAAAAAACTATTTAATATCCCGGCGCCTCCACCATTCTTCTTAAATTAATTACATAGTTCAATTATATTTGTTAATTCAACTAATTAAAAAAATTACAATTTTTAATAAACAATTATTTGTTTAAATATGTTTAAACCGTTAATAACAAAAATAAATCTTAACCTTCAGATTGCCAAAAATGCCAGTTTAAAAAACACAACTTGTGCAAAAGATGTTTTAGAATTGGTATCGCAAAAGATTTTTTGGTCGTTGTGTTGTGTAAGTTTAAAAGTTTGCGCATACGCCTGAGAAATGTGGTGTTTTTTTGGTTGGATTTTGGTCCAGATATAAATAAATAGATTCTCGCTGTGTAAGGAACCGAAAAGCTTGGCAGATTAGGATAAGAGGTGTTTGCCAAATTTTCGTGATCCTTTTAATTTGAGGAATTATTTACGACGTAGTGTTTGCAAATGAGCGTCGCACGTGTGGTGGCTTTAGAGATGGGGTGGTGTTTGCATCGGTGGAGGATGTAGAGTAGATGGTGTCGAAGACCGGAGCCTCCGGAAGGTCTTTGGAAGCAGCAGCTAGGCGTGGGGGCGAGGAAGTTTGGGGGCGGCGGCGAGAGAGACGGTGAAGAAAAGAGAGCGCGGAACATTTGCCCAGGAGCAGCTGCCCTGCCAGCGCAACCCCGTACCCGTTTCATGTTAGTCTTGCGCCATCCTGCCTGACATGCAGACGTAACTTGCGACTAGAACATATCACTGTGTACGTATTCGCACTGACCAGAGAATGGCATCGCACACCTGCACCTGATAAAAGCAACGGCACTTACACAACTTTACACACCACAATATAATACAAAAAATGACAGATTTTTCACAAAATTTTCAATAATTACAAAATGACTTGTTTTCACTATTGCACTTGTTAACTCGCACAGTAGTTTGTAAGATAATACAACGCACTGCACCATAGCACCGCACTCGAGGGGTACAACATTACAAGGTAAATACCAAAAAATTTATAAACTTGCCTGATTGTCGCATTTTTCACGCAACTCGCCACTTTCACTATTTTTAAACTCTTTGTCTCTTTTCAGCTTTGTTGACCGCATGTTCAACACAATGTGACAAAAAATTCGAATACTTCATTCATTCTAGCTCTACTTTCACAATTATAATTGATTACAAGCTTAAACAATAAAAATTGTACTTTTTTTATTATCCGAAAAAACAATTTTTGTTTTTTTTTCAATAAATATTTAGCTGCGTTGCTAAATTATTAAATTGTTTTTGTTACATTTTTTTATGCCTAGTAGCGATTTTTTGTATCTACATGTTAATATTAAAACAAATATAACAATAAATAATTTGTTACTGTGTTTAGTATCCTGGCGCCTCCACCATTTTCGCACATATGTATTTTTTATTAAAAAATATCTTTTACAACTTTACACCAAAACGTAAAAAATAGTAATTAATTTGTTTTTAACTTCAAACCTTGTTTATTGAATCGTTGATACAAAACAATAAACTAAAAAATTACTTCAAAAAATGTCTTGTTTAAAAACTTTTGTTAATGATGTAAAACATAACAAAGAATAAGACTTCTTGTTAAAAAAGCTTAAAGCTTTGACATGCTTAAAAATTTAATGATTTCGAGTTTTATTCCAATTTATTTGAAAAAAGAATCATTATAGGATGAATCAACACATATTTATTTAATTATTTATTTTAACTAATTAAATAAAACAGAATGCTATTAATTTATGTGATTAAAAATACAATATAAAACCAAAATTGAAAATATATGTTTTAAAAAAATGTTATTGAAACTCATCAAACTGCATTTTTTAGAATCCCTTATGTTCACTTTGTAATATCATCATCTAGTTTTTGTTTAAGTGTGTTTCTTTTTTAGAAACTGCAGAAACGTATATTTATGATTGGTACGTGTGCTCGTAGAAGAATTTTATTGGCACATAGGAAATTATTTAAAAGCGGTGTAAAAAGCAAACGCATAGAAATTTTTTGGGTCAGATTTGATATTCACATTTGGAACTAATTCCCTAGTTCCTGTGAAGTGTGAAAGGGTATTTGTATCTTTATAAAAGCTGTCATCGTGAAAAATTTTGCGTCCAATACTTTCACGTCAACGAGCTTCAATTTGACGCTAGAAGTAGATTTTAAAAGTGTAATATTACGTATTGTAGTAGGCGATATTGTAAGGAATTTATCGAAGATGAAAATTTTTCCTTAGCAGTATACAAATTGATTGAAGATTGTGCTTAGAGGTTGAACATCGATTATTGTACATGTTTGTAGAAGCAAGGGGACAACGAGATTTGTGCTCGAGATGTGCGAAGGTGTTTACATATTTTTTTAATTATTCAAAAAATATTTGTATGATTTTCTAAAAAAAAATTAAATTAAATTAAAAACGTTATTACGGTTGAAAGGTATTAAAATTTTTTGACCTTTTATCTGTCTAAATCCGATAATCTAGCATGTATGTGCCTGTGTAAACGCAATCAATCATAGCTTCGTGGAAAACCCAATCAGTTCGAGCAGCTGCTATGATGTTACGAGACCAAATAAAAAATAACAGAAAACCAGAATTCAAGGAAAATTAAACACGACAGGCCAAATAAGAGCAGCTGGTGCGTGAGATTAATTAATAAACAAAAATTTCGACCCGTGTACAAATTCTCGAACAGTGTTTGCGGTTATACTAGAAATCTGGTATAACAAAGATACTTACTTTTGCTAAAACTAGCAGAAACGTTATAACCATCTACTTTATTACAACTTTAATGGACTCATATCACGGAGATCGATTGCTCAAAATATGAACAGCAAACGAAATATTAAAGGATCTAAGACTTCCTGAAACACACGTCACTGAACTTCTATTATAACCGAGCATAAAGTTGACAGAAAAACTCGTTTCTTCTATAACAACTTCGGCAATATTTCATTGCCAAACTTAACTCTTCATAGATTTAAAACCAATATCGGCTTCATAAAATTTTCGATTTCATAAGAAAAAAACACCTCCCACGCTCAACTGTCAAAGAGTTAATATTTAATTCCAAGACAGAAATTCTTTTCTGCCAGATTCACTATTTACCAAATCAAATTTAAATCGACATTATTTTTTTCTAGTTGAACCGTTAACCTCACCACAAGCCAAAACTTTGCCTCATAAACTTCCATTATCAAAACGTACCAGCTGTTCGTTTGTCTTGAAATTAATTCCGCAGTTTTTGGCAACTTAAACAAATTATTATAAAAGTTATTTTGGACTTTTCCAGATTATGTAATTTCACGCAAATTTGTGTTACTCCTAACAATCCCCAACTCTCTTTCAAATTACATTTGAATTCTTAAGAGTCTTGAAAATCCAATAGCGGACCCAGAGACGTAATCTCCACAATTACATTATTTTAATTATTTTGAAATTGCGGCGGTTTTAAATCAAAACAAATTTTTGAAATTACAAAAGAAGTTATTACATTTCTCTTTGATAACTTTTTATTAACGTACTTAACTACTGTTTACTTTTTAAGATGCAATAAACTCAGTAAAGTGAAAACAGACCCAGTTTAAAGTTCATATAAAACCTAAAACTTTACAAACACTTTTTATATAAAAACTTTCTCAAATAAAAAATTGTCTGGAACATTTAAAAACAAAAGCAATTTTGTTTTTCTATAAAAATTTATTGTAGTAAGATGAATAAACAAATAAGCTCGAGAAACGGTTCTTTTGAGACAACAGCTTGTAAAGAAATTGCAGCTTTGAATAATACTCCTAATATTTTGCAAGGTTAAATTGCAAATATCGACTGTAAATGTTAAAAGTTTCAAATTTTGTTTTACCCTAAATTAACTTGTCAGAATTTGTAGGTCGATTTTTCGTTGTTTGTGGTTTTGCTTGTAGTTTATCGTAGACGACATAGTTCGTAGACCGTTTGGTCTAGCAGCGAGATTGTTTAAGTTGGTGTAGCATGTGCGAGTTGTGCGTGTTATCCCCGGTTATTGTTTGTAGCAGCATAATTATGAAGTAATTTGTAAATTGTTTTTGAAATTGTATGTTTACAAGGCAAATCGCGTATAACGCGCGTGTGGTAGCGTTCGAACCTCTTTGGCTAATCCTGTTGAGCATCCTAGTAAATGGATTTAATGTGAATGCGGTGTGCGAATGTTTGATGTCGGCGTTATCACTTTGGTTATTTCAGATGCACATAAGTTCATTAGCGACGAGCGTATTTATTTGGTGGGTCTGGTTTGGAAGCACATCAGCGTTCGCGCTGCCTAGAACTAAAGAATACAGAGGATCAAGTGAAGTTGTCTCGGGCAAAAATGGGGCGGGTGCAGAGCCCAGCTGCGAGGAGCTGATGGCGATGTGGAGGTTTTCTAAACGTCAGTCGAGAGCTGCTGAGATTACCAATGAAATACCCATGTATAGAGACCCCTTTTCCGATAACGTTTGGGAACCTTATTACGCTACTTCGAGAAGCATGGGGGGGTAAGCGAATACAACCCTAATAAAAGACTATACTTTATTACTTTCACGATTTTTGCCACTTACCATTTACAACAGGTTTATACGCGGTTTTACGACTAGATTCCACTTTTTTCATCTCGCCTTTTACGGCTTTACAACTCACTAAGACCAACAGCAAACAATCAATAATTGACAATTCTTCAAATTTTTACAATATAACTTTAATTTTTTTTTTTTTAATATGAAATTATACAATACACAGAAACTTATTTTCACACACACTTTCAGTCAACAGAATTATGGCTAGTAACTTTATGCACATTAAAAATATAAAACACTAATGTTAATTCTTTGAGGTCACTTTATTACAATTTGTCCAATTTGCCACATTGCACTGTTACAAGTAGCGATCTTTAAACGAATTTGCAACAAGTTGCTGAAAGCAACGAGTTGAAAATACTTTACAGCCAGCTTAAAACAAATCATAAAAAACCAGTTCATGGTTCTGGACGGAAATTGCAGTATACACATTTTCACTCATGAGTCTCCCTTATTTAATGTCTCCCAAACTTTGGAATATTTAAAATTGGTATACAAAAAAATACAAATTAAAAAAATATGTACTAAAATTATTTAAACACATTTCCTTAAAATTATTAGGCAATTTTGCTGCTATATTAATAGATAAACAAAACAACTTATGTTAAGCATTAATCAAAACATTTAATCAGAGGTCGATGTAACTGTAGTAAGATAAATATTACATATTATCAATTAAATACCATATCAAAATCATTGTGGTAATTGAATTTAATTAATGCAGTTTGGCTTTGTATTAAGTTGAAATAAATCTCTAGTTTGTGTGTAGTCAAATAATAATTAATAAATCCCTGAACAATAGTTAAATATATTTTTAACGTAAAACACATTATTAGATGTAAATGGTAATAATCCGTTTAAAGCTCATATGTTTTGCGACCAAAAACGTAAAAATATCATTGACCTAAGTGTTCTATTTAGTTAATCATTACCAAAAAACAAAGTGCATTGCCTAAACTAAATATAATTTTTAAAATTATTAATGCAACCTAATACAAGAACACGGTCGTAAAACAAATAAACAGTTAATTTTTATACAGAAAGTTTAAATTACAAAGCCGCGTTATCTGAGCAGACTTCACTCATTTAGACATTTTGTATAGACTTGTTTGCCTTTTTCATTAATTTAGATAACGCTCAAACTCCACGTATTGCCATTTTAAATATATTCACAAAATTACATTTTTGAAAAATATAATTATAAAAACACCATCTATTTCGAGCTTAATTCATTTTACTCGAACGAGATACTGGAAGTTCGTGACTCGCTGCACCTGCAATGCAGCAGCTTAAGAAAGAAAGAAAAATTATATTAAATAAATAACAAGAAAAAGTCAAATAAAAGCAGCGGTAATGTGAATGCATAAATCAAATTAAAGTTTCTTCATAAATAATAACAAGTGCAGAACAAAGCAAATAACAAAAATAATTAAGTTAAAAGATAGTATTTGTTTTCAGCGCTTGACACTCCATTTAAAATTAAAAAATTCATTCATTCATTTATTTCTAAATTTTTATAATGTGCTTTAACATATTTGTAAACAAACTTTAATGAAGCCTTTACTGAAAATGTAATAAATTCGCCCGACACGAAATTAAATTTTCATTCGTTTACTCTTTAAAAAACTGATGCAAAAATAGTGTTTATCTGATTTTGTTTATTAATTTTTTCATATAACTACGATAAACTCGTTTTATTAAAACGATGACTGAAATTGCTGTGTTAGTGTTGAAATGTGTTTTTGCTTTTAAAAGAATTTTATTTAAAATAAGCAGTTTTATTAAAAATTTCAGTTATCTATAAAAACGCGAATTTTGTGTAAACATTGAAAGCTGACTGGATTTGAATAAATGGAAAAATTCTTTTTATTTGTACTTGAAACCAAGAAAATATTTTCTTTAAATACAACCAAATAACATTTTGTTATTCTTCTATTGTGCTTCCCAAAATTATTTTATACCTCATTAAAAAATAACGTATTGTTGGCATGATATTTAAATTACTAAAAAAGAATAATATGAAGCTGTATTAAAAAGAAACCATAAATACGTTTCCGTACTTCCAAGATGTAAAAATAAATCGTTGTGTTCAACAATTATTACTATTTTCTACTTATATAAATTGTACGTACTTGTAACGTCGGGCAGTTTTATCGAACAGTTTCATCGTAAAAATTGGAAACAACATGATGAAACAAATTCCTTCAAAATTGCTACCATACATCAAACGTGAGTACAAGATAGTCATGATGAAGTGCTGAATAAAAACTGCAAATTTGCATATATTAAATCGTAAATTGGTTATTTAAAAGAGGCAAAATACAGCAAGCCATTTCCCAGCAACACAAATTCGCATCAAATAAATTTATTTATCTAGTCTAGATTGGGATATTATTTAGTCATCGAAATTTATGGTTCCCGGTCCAAGCCGTTTATACCTGAGTCCCTGAGTGTTTCTCAAATTTATTATAATTCATTCTAAACTTGGAACTTGTGGAAGTTATAGATGTAATATTCGACGAGAAGTTATTTCAATAGTTGTTCAACAAGTTATCGCTCAAGTTATATATTAACAACTTTGGCTGCTCATTTGACACAATGTTCCTATTCCCAACTATTTTCAGCAAAGCAAGTTTGAAATAACTCCACAAACGAAACAAATACATTTGAGTTTTTTGACGCATAGCTGCGTCCGAATAAATTTCGGAGTAAGTACGTGTCATATCCGTATCCTCACTTCTATGCGATATAAACTGGTTTGATTCCGGTTTTGTAGAACGATCCAATAACAGATCGATGGAAACCTACTCGTTTTTCGCTCTTCCCTTTACATACTCTACTTTCGAACTAACTGATACAATCTGTCAGAGGAAATATAGATCTTAAGATGAACCGGATATTAACTATCCGTGACCACTCAATACCCTATCAGTTTTAGGAAGCTTAACTTCCGGATTCTGCTCCCAGGTTTAAAGTAACTTATTGTAATTGGAGTTTACATTGATTACCATTATTTAGCGACACACTGACAGATCCACTCTATTAATGAGGGTTTTATCTCGTCTCGAATAATAGGATAATCGAGTCTAACTCAAATTTCTTTAGTTTACTTTACAACTCAAGAGAATAAAAGCAAGTCTTTGCGAAGGTAATTAAGAAAAAATAAAAGAAGCGCGTGATCGTTAAAGGAGACACATTTTTACCGAGAGGACGATTAATTAGAACGGATGGCAGAACGATAAACGATGTCGCAATCTTATAATGTCCTGTTTATTGATTTTAAAGAACGACACTTAATGTTATTTCGTTAGTGGTTACATGAAAGCCATGTAATCACTCATTCCCGCCTACATTTGATAAATTTTTCAAATCTCTTAATGTATTGCCTTCCTAAATGACGACAGAGAAAACTTGTGACACCCTGTCGATTAGGCGAGGTGAATAACCGCTCGTTCGTTAGATAAAAGGTTTAATGGGTTTTAATAAACGTCCACGATTTGCATCATTGATTTTCGTTGCAGGATGCGAATGGGACGTCACAGAGGACGGCCAATTTATGGACGCGTGGTTCACAAGGCCCCACTACTGCGTATCCAAGATTTGGCCGAAAGAACCAGAGCTTTCGAGGAGGTAGCCAAAATGTATGGAACGGTTCAACGACAAACAGAACCAAGACGACGGATAACGGCATTCAGGTTGTCAGGGGGAGGTCATCTACCTTCTCTAGGCCTTACTCCACAAAGCGGAAGTTTCCAGCATCTAAAGGTGAGTTCTGCGAATCCCTCACGCACCCATTCCAGGCTCTTCACCCAACTCAAGTATTAAGGGTGTTCGCGACCAACGATTCGAGACATTAGTATATTGAAAACAAAATTACTCTCTTAATATACAACAGAATTTCAAGTATTATACATCAAAGTGAAGGTTTTTTAAATCTACAGGCCGATACGTTGAGATTTAAAAAAAAAGTAATCCCTTTAAAAAAAGAACAAAAATGCATAAATGCTGAACTTGAAAACAACTTTACTCAGTCATTTTTCAAGTAATCAATCTTGGTTTTTGTAAGATAATTTAAAAGAATATTCTATAGGCTGATGCGTTGGTATTTTTTTGAAAAAGTGTTTCGTTTTTGAGATATTGTAATTGATGTAAAAAGTAAAAGTCATCATATCTAACGGTAGACCTAAAGATTCGTTTTAGGGTTTTGGTATTTATTACAAAATATTAATTCTTAACAAATTCAATAAATACCATCTAATAAAACACTGTATAAAAAACTATATTCTTGTTGGGTATTGAGTACCTAAAATAACTATTTTTCATACTATTTTATTGGGTCCAACAAACAGAGCGTATACAAAAAAGTTCATTACTTTTAAACAATTGCTCGCCAGAAGTCTAAAACAAATAGTTTTTACCGGGGCAACTATGAAAAAAAATCATTGGACAGATTGTTTTTGTTATTCAATTTATCGTTGTTCTTCATAAAAAAATGATTCGCCCTATCATAATCTTTTTTTATACATAAGACATACACTTTTTGGAACTATAAATGAAAACTTTGCACTTTTCTACGGTTAGTGGTAACCATAAATGTGGTCAATGGCAAAAAATTGCAATGGAATACAAGGACACTTTTAAACTAAAAAAACCTATCTAAAAAAAATCTCCTCCAAAGAATATGAATTTTATAGTGCGCATTGTAAATTTGATAGTTAGATGTACGGACACGGAATTTTGGACGATTTGTTATTCTGTTGACATAAAATGTAAAACTGACTATGTGCAACTTTTTTTTTAATTTTTTGTATTTTTCATGCTGACAGCTAAATAAAAATGACAATAAATCAAAATAATAATAAAAAATAATAACTTAAAAAAAAACGTACTGCAACTGCTGACATTATTGAAATAAATTTCAACTAAAACTTTCAAATTTTAAATCCAAACGTCAATCATAATGACACTAAAGCGTGTCCAAAATTTCGTGTCCACAATTGCATAAATTTGTAATATTTCCGATTGTAAAAATTTTAATTTACGAAATTATTTGTCTTGTTACACCATACAAAAATTTAATTTCCATTGAAAATGCAACCTGTGACCTTTTTAATTTGTACAACCTAACAGGTAGATAAAATAATTATGATTAGATTTTTTTTTAATCTAAAAGTCAAAACAATATTTAGCTTTCTAAGAAATTTCTGGGGCAACACAAATTCAAGGGATAAAAATATTAGGGAATTGATCTTTTACTTTTATTACAATTTATTACCCTTACTGACCCAACCCTTCAACGCAGGTAAAAACTGAGTATGGACCCTGTCTAAGGTGTATTGCTGCTTGCTTTTGATAAAGAATAATAAGTGCTGAAAACCGACATGTCAGTTCACTCCCGGACAGCCCTAACGGCGCAGATGTTATACTAACAGCAATCTGACATCTGACGCAGGTGTAAACACCTGCCGATTTTACAAATGCCAACATCCTGCGACCAAAATTCTGCAACCTGTTAAACAACACAATAGCACATTATGTTATTAGGAGTCAAAGTAATAGTTTATGTGGCGAAATTAAACGTTTATTTAATAATTCCGCTGACCCACAGAAACTAATTTTCACTCTGATTAAAAAATACTATTTTATCCGCAAACGTATTCAGATCGAGAGTAAAGAGCAACCAACACTTAATTAGAGTAATGAACAAAATAATCAGAACGCTTTGCAACTAATGAGATCATAACGCTTAATATAAACAAACATCACGCGTTAATATCGGAATTTATGTTGAGATTTTTGAAAGTGCTTATTAATTTAACTAACTAGTAGGCAAAATGTCGAATGCTAATGATATGCAATGTACAGGGTGTTTCATTTTGGATGTCCGAATAGGGAATCTCCGAAACTAAGAGGTTTAGCCAAAAACGAGTAATACATTCTGGGGCCCATTTTTTGAGGAAATAATATTGGTTAAAACTGCATCCCGCTACCGTCTTTTGTGTTCGACTTATAGACAAAAATTGACATTTTCGCGAAATCTAAAAAAATATTCATATCTTCGTTATTATTGAAGACACAGATTTGAAATAAACACATTATACAGGCACTTTTTTACGTAGAATTTAATAATGTAGTTAACAACTTTTTTCAGTTGCTTGTTTAGCTCTAATAAAATAAACTTTTATTTTTTTTAATGGAAATCAATCTATTTTAACGTAAACTCTCAATAATAAGTCTTCACAAATTGAAAAAAAAGTTTTTAATCTATCTATTGCCATAATTTTCATGGTTTTTAGTTATACAATCTTTTAACTAGAAGTGATCAAATATATTTTAAATAATTTAAATAAAAGTCACAATTAATAAATTTTGACATAAACAAATATAAATTTTACTCTTTTTATTTCTACATTTACTTGACAGAGTCTTGCACTAACATTAACTGAAATAAAAGAAAACAGATATGAACCAATGCAAAACAGATTAATGAAGAGCTTATCCTATTCTCAAAGAAAGCTTATTATTATCAACTTGCGGCTACTACTTATTATTCGAAACAAAATAATTTGTCTTTAACTTAATTTTTGCTATTTGTACATTAGCTTAAAATTATTTGATTTCTAATGGCCGGTTTTTCAATCGTTGGTTAAAGTTAAACCTCTAGTTAAACTAAAAATGCAGCATTTTGATTGGTTAACTTGCAAAAATTTCCAACTAGAGGTTAACCAACTATTGAAAAACCGGCCCTTAGAGTTCTATGGACACTAATTAATAATTACGTAATTACATAATACATAATTACATCCTTTTATGTAGATATTCCAAAAAAGAAGCTTGTAGGTGTTTTTAATTCTTTTTCGTGTATATTTTTTCAGTTCGTCGTTATTAAAGATATTAATTCTAAGTGATATTCCCCTAAAATGTTTGCTCATCTGTCCATAATCCATATTGTCTATTATTCTGAACCGCCATATTAATGAAATTATTTGATCTTAATGCGATAGAACGTTGCATACATTGCATGCAAATGTTTTTAATCAAAATTCAATGACCGTCGCTGCTGAAAATAACTTTAAAATTGTAGAATTTTAAGTAAGCCGTTCCGCACGATGAAACTAAAGAATTTATAGTTCTAATACCTGTGATAAAAATAACGCAAATTTTGAAGAACAGAACTTGGGCACTTGGTTTATTGTTGCAGGAGCTAATTAGAACGGAACGCGCTCGAGAACTGCAGGAACAGAGGATGGCGGAAGAAGCAGCAGCTCGTGCTGCAGCTCTGAAAGAGTTTGCAGGAAGTGGAAGTCACAGGAATCAAGCGTAAGTGAGAAATTCTTTGTAGTTACATTCCAAACTTCTAATCTATAATAATAATGGAAACCAGATTGTGGGGAAATTATTCAAATCAGTGAAACCGAAAATTCATTTATTTTTCACGCTTTGATCGATCTTGTTTATCCTTACGCGCTTAGAGAATTTTCGATAAAAAGACACAAAAATATCATCTTTAAGTCCCAACTTAAAATATTCTTTTGAAGTTTAAAGACTAGTGATCCTGAAATATGGACCAGGAGTAAATTTAATATTTCAATAATAACCTCCCGATACACGGTTCACCTCAAAGGCGGAATTCTCCTCAAAACTCTAACGCAGACTAACTTATCAACTATAGGAAATAAAAGTGAAACACGGAAAAATCGAGAATTCCCTGGTAACAGAACTAACCCTTCAGCCCTCATTACGTCCATTGTAGAATTTATTGTTTACGTGTCGACTTTACAAACGCTCCCACTAATCTTATACCGATTTATTACACGCCACTCAATCTCCTGAATTCCACCGTTCTTGCCCCAGATTTAATTATTATCTTTTAATTAAATTACTATAAAGAATTTCAATTATTGTTAAAGTCATATAATGTGACTATACAAGCAGCTACAAAACAAGAACCTAATTTATGAGTTAACCGTAGTAGCAGACATTTTATCCCATCCAATTTAGCCCAAATTTAGACAATATTTATACGCAAAATAATATGTCACCGAAAATCCGGCGTCGTCTGCGTTTGATGTAAGAAAAATCACATTTTCTTGTGAAAGATGATTGCTGCAGTCAAAGTAATATGAAAACACAAAACTGCCTTTTTTGTCTTCACTTGTTGCCTTGCAATATTGCCGAGATAAGTGCGTGTCGCCTCATAAATTACAATCATATCTTTTCTTTTTATTAAGTCGATTAGCATTTAAAGTGTTTTAAATATCTCGTTTTGAACTAGAGAGGAAACTCGAACGTAATTCGCCATTTCCTGGTTTTCTCCTAAATATATTAACACGATTATAGCTTCTCCTGAAAATAAACGTAGTCTCTGTAAATTAATAATTAGGATTGGGTTAAATTAATTATGTGAGAGAAACTTGTACTCATCTTAGTTATTAGATGGATCGATAAGATCGCAACCCAGACGCTTCCTAATTTACTGCGGCTTTTTAATTCGATTAGATTCATACTTCAAAAGCGGTTAACGGATTTTACGAGGAGAAACACTCAGACAGAATAACTTACACAATTAAAACACTGATTAGTAGATTTGTTCAGACTGTCACTATTTATTTTCCAGCTCTGCATTGTTAACCCTTTCAACTTTTATTTGCCATTGTTGTAGAACAAGTTCTAGTTTTAATAAATTAATCATATCAGTTGTCTAAAAAAGTTAAAGTAGTATTTCGTAAATTTGTCAGAATTTGGGTTTAGGGTGTAGTCGATGATTTATTGGATTTATCTGTGTGAAATATCATCCTTTTGTAATGATGTGATGGGTGGCAAAGTAAAGTTAGGTCGTTCAGCTGAAAACAATGTATTCTGTATGTGTTCTGTTTTTGTTAGGTTTGGTTAATACAATTTTGTTAACAGAAACTATCGTGATATTAACTACAATTACGACATTGACGGAAGGGAGGATCAGCAGCGCGATAGCTATATGGGTCGCGGTGGAATTTTAGCTTTCCCAGATTTGTTGGCCCCATCATCCCGCCAAGACCCTGACGACACACGTTTTATCCAAGATTATGGCTATTCGAGAGATAGGCCTAGAGCCCAGAGCTCTTCACTCTTTGACACCAGTTCATTTAACGTCGTAAGTATACGAAATGAGTCTACATTTCCTATCTTCTAGCATAAAAGGGTGTGTTTAGGTAATTCAATTAAGTTTATCGCGTTATGTCATTATTGGACTTAATTAGCCAGTGCAAGTCACTTTTAATTAAAATGACGTTGTTGACGTCGCCGCCGGGGTATTAAGTATGGAAATAAATCGCGATGTCGGCGCTTTTTTAATTAATTACTGAATCTCAAGAAGGATGTCTTGCTTGAATTACAAGTAGTTGTGTTTTTCAGGACGATTTTGACGGATTGATGCTGTAAAAGTGCGTTAGTGGTCGTCGGAAAGTCCATATTGATTTAATGTTTTATCCATCATATACTCCATACAGCTTGTATGCTTTATATTTGAGATTGAACTTTGACGTGCTATTACAAATAATCGTATACAAAATATCTAGAAGGTTTATTAGAAACTAGGTGTAAAAAAATAAGACTATGGAGAGATCTGTAAAATAAATGCGAAAAACTTATTGTTGAACTCTAAGATATAAATGTTTTATAGTCTTTTAGGATGTGGACTGATTTTTAAATAAATTTTTCGGCAAGGCCAGGAATTTTGGATGCTATTTTGATAAAAATCTTCGTACAAGAAATACTAATTTATTTTTCTATTATTATTATGTGATCATGTGAGGCTGGTATGATCCATAATTCAATCACGCTATAATATTACGATTGTTTTTATCATTCTTGCATCCTCTTGTTAGTAAAACGCCATGACATTTGTAATTAGTACCATTTATTATCATGATGTTGGCCTGATATTTTTCATCAACGATATTCGCTTATTCTGATTCAAATGAGTTTATGTTATGAGCCCGTTATTTAAAGATATTCAGATGTTGGGGATGAAAAATATGAGGTGATTTATAACACTGTCACGTCAGATACTATAATAATGCTTTTTATATTAAAAAAACAACAAAAATTGTTAGAAACAGTAGGTATTGTTGGCTAATCTTGAAACACCCAACCAGGAAAAAAGGAACGGTTCGGTAATGATGCATATGACTAAATCATATCACGGTCGTACTGTATAAGGTGACCAACTTTATAAAATTTAAAAGCAAGACATTAATATAACTAATCATTTTATTTTAAGACACCAAACAAAAAATAAAATAATGTACGGTGTAAATTTTTTACATAAAAAACGAACATTTTTTTGGTATTCACGCCTTCGTCCTCTGCAAACAATTTCAAAACTTTTATAAAAGTTTAACCAAAATTTAATTTGTTCATTATGAGTGATTTGAGTATTTTAATTGAGTTTTTCAGAGGACCAAATGTCGTTTACAAGTTAAGTGACGTTCCATTTTCGCGTCAAATACTAAATCTAAAAATCAGGACATTTGGATCTGTTCGTAGTAAAATCGGGAGGTATAACAGAACGAGACAGTAAGCAAGTAAAATCAGAACGGTTGGTCACCTTAGTCATATTATATCAACAGTAGTTACAAGCCGGATAGGGACATATCACAGAAATTCTTTTCGAAACAATCAAATAACGAAGAATATCACTGGTACGACATATCTAATGATTTTGCAATTGAGGTATCATAATAACATCAAAATGGCAGCCAAGTATTTCAAATTAAGGCCTAATAGCACTTTCAGTATTAATGTTGATATATACATAAACAAAGTCTTCCCTAATATATTAGAATTAACTAGACCCGTAGTTTAAGAATGCAGCATCTGCACAGGCAAAGTTATGCAATAGTTTATCACCGCGTCTACTTACGTTAAAATTTACATCAATTTATGATAATTAAAGCCAAGTACAAAACATACCGGTTACGAAATTTCAATTTCCAAATAAATCCAAGTGTAAATTTTCACGTAAGATATGTATAGAATTGGCTCTTGACGGAATGTTTAATTAAAATAATGTGATGAATTCGACAATAACAAAATTTTATTTTTTGAATTCTGAAATATTCTGATACGTCTATTTAAACTACTTCTAATTATTTAAAGTGCAATTTAAATGTTTAGAATTAGTCGAGCTGATCTGCAGTGACAATAAATTTTCGTCAATTTCATTCAATATAAAAACATTAAATCAAACTAAATTCAAACAAAAAGATGTATTTATGTTGGAAAAACCAAGGGCCAACGTTTTACCGACATAAATGCCGTCTTTAATTAATTATAAGTAAGTGTATGTATTTTTAATAGCATCATTATGAACATTCTCATCAGTGCATGTTTGTATCTGTATTATGCTGTAATGCCCTTTTGTCTCCAATCATATCTAACTCTCAATCCATTAGGTATTCTGTGATGTAAGAAATACTGACAATACTAGCAAACACCTTGTGTGGGGTCTGAATTATATTCATTACCACCTATAATAGTAGCAAATTATTTTATATGTAATATTTGTATGTAACTATACGTATCTATAAGCAGAATAAATTATATTAGCAAGCATCAAACTTGGATTTTTTTTCATTTATAATCCTATTTAAATTACCTTCAAACTTCCGAATTTTAACCGCTAAGTTTCTTGTCAACTTTGTTATCAAACCAACTTATTTTATAATCCCAAAGACTGTTACTACACAATCCACCCGTCCTGAAATATGTAACAAGCTCAAACCGCAACGTCTTAACAAATTAACATAAAAAAATACTCTTTCTTAAAATTTGATTTTATAATTATCAACTAAAACTTTATGGCCAACTTCCTTCTCAAAATATAAGTTGTCACAAGTTGAACTTTTTTTAATTTTTACAAATCTTAATCTACATCAGTACGTAATTAAAAATGTTATACATAAAAAAATTAAAGCTGATAAATTTACCAACAGCATAAATAGCTATTTTATTTTTTAAATAAAAATATAAGTATTTTTACAAAACACTCGCCATCGTTCTACTATGTCGTTATTGTTCATATTAAATAACTATTTACCTACTTTAAATGCAACCTGAAGGCCAAAGTAAATTGTCTTGATGACATAAAGTTTTAAGTTATTTTTATGTAATATATAAAAAAACACATTTGTAATTAAAATTTGTTTTGTACTTGCTTTTATTTAAGTTTTTTTAGAAATATAAAATCTATTTTATGAAACTGGAAGAAAATACATGATACGTCCCACGATAGGCAACCCAATATACATACTTATATTTGAAAGTAATTTTCTAAACTTATTTAATATAGAGGCTCATTTTTAATAAGAGTTTCAAACGTTTTAAACCAAACTTATAAATAAATTGAAAAAAAAAATTAAGTACTATTACTTCAGATACTATTTTAGTAACACCGTCTCTTTGAACCTAACATCAAGAAAAAATGTTAGTTAGTAAATTGATTACAAGTATTTTAAACTTATTTGGGCTATCTAAAAACTGTTTGTAATAAAACAAAAATAAATTATTTAAAGAAATAATGAAGTATTTCATTTTTAAAAAGTTGGGGTTTTTGTTGCACTGGAATTTGGATTGGTAGTTGGTAGACTGAAACGTCAAGTAACGTTAGCTGTCAGGTTATGGTGGACCGTCAATTTTAGTAAACGAAGAAAAATCGTGTATATTTGTAATGATTTTGTCTAATTTATAGTATTTGTTTGTTATGTTTTTAATTTATAGTTTTGTGTGTTTTGTTACGTTGTGCCTAATTTAATAAAAATGCATTTTTCAATTCCTGACACTCAAGAATTAAACGAAGGAAATGGGTCAACCTACATTGTATGTTTATAGGAAATTTGATCTGAATGAATAAATAATCTAATTTTAGGGTTATAATATCCACATCAACGGTGTTTTTCACTGTACTGTGCGTTACAAGCAACTGCATAATTTACATGAGCAATTAAAAAAAGAATTTAGTAACGATAATCTTCCACCATTCCCTCCAAAAAAGTTGCTGCCATTAACAGGGGGTCAGTTAGAGGATAGACGTGCATTGCTAGAAAAATACATCCAAACAGGTGACTCTCTCAAATAAATTTATTGAAATTATAACCGAAGTTTTAGTGGGGCAAGATCCAAAGCTGGTTTCTTCTGAACTCCTGGTAGGATTTCTGCTTTCAGCACAGCAAGAAACGACATGTGAAAAAAGACAAGAAGTTAATTTAGAAGTGTACACTAGTAATAATTATCAAATTTCTCTCACTGTATCAACATTTGATCGCACTGAACAAGTACTCATGAAAGTATTTAAACAAATTAATCTCCCCCTACAGTACTTGCAATATTTTTCCTTGTATCTTATCAAGAAAGATAACAACGGCGACTTAGTCGTACTCAGAAAACTCCTCAACTTCGAGTCACCATACATGACTCACAAGACTGTCAGAGATTCAAATAAAATTGTGATAAGGAAGAGGTATTTACAACGAAATTGTTGCCACTTTGATAATATTGTTTTGTAGCTACTGGGATTGTAATTATGATCAAGAACTCATGACAGATCCTGTTGCGTTGAATCTCCTATACGTCCAAGTAGTTAGTGATGTAGAAAAAGGGTGGATATGTTGCACTAGAGACATAAAATCGCAACTGGCAAATCTCCAATCAAGATTAGCAAAACGGGAATACATTGAACTAGCGCGAACGTTGAAATATTATGGTTTTATGCAATTTACGCCATGCTACTGTGATTTTCCAAAGCCTCAAACCAAAGTCCTTATTGCGATAGGTGATCAAGAACTGAGTATGAGATTAGTTGGCAGTGGGCAATTTGTCAAAGAAGGGTCTTTCAAAGTCACTAGAATGAGATGTTGGCGGATCACAGCAACACATGTAATTTTTCCCTTGTTTCTTGATTTTTTTACAACTGTGGTTTTGCAGAATAAACAAGATATGGCAGCAAATAGTCATGCAAATGTGAATTCTGGCCTGGAGCTCTCTTTTGAATACTTGATGTCCAAGGATAAGTTACAATGGATTACTGTGTCAAGTGAACAAGCAATTTTGATGTCTGTGTGTCTCCAGTCGTTAGTTGATGAGTTGTTAATGAAGAAGAATGGCGTTCAGAAGAAGCAACCGCCAATGAACAAAGGGAATTGGTCTTATATGAAGAGGGATGGGTCTTGCCACTTAATCTCATTAGATGATGTCAATTCAAATTCAAGGGTGGGTTGTTAAGTGGTTTAATGTTGCTGTATTAATCTTTGTATTATAGGATGACGGTTCTGCTCAAAAATACCAAGAGTCTTTTTCAATTAAGAAACTCCAAGAGAAATTTTCAAGTGTATCATTTAAGACAGGGAAAGAATTTATTGAAAATCATGCATTTGAAGGAATAGGCGACGACGATTTATAGATTGACGAATTAAGATTGTTTTGCTTTGGTAAATGAATGTTGTTACAACGTGGGTTTTTTTAAGGTGCTATTTTCCAATGATGTCCAAAAGAATTATGCCATTTACAATAACTAAATTTACCAAAATCATACATTGTGAGGGAGAAATTAACCTCATACAGTCCATTTTATGTGCCAAACTTAGAAATAATAAACAAACATATTTTACTAAAGCAGCAATATATTCATATTTTATATATTAACAGGTGAACATGTATCACGACTAATTCTTTATCAAACAAATCTAAATCGCGGAATTCTGACAAAATGCTCAAATTTTATATTCCCTAATTGTTTTTTAGTACCTGACCGATTATTTGTATATTTAAAATATGCATTTTTTTAACTTTATACATATTACTTATGTAACTAATTTTATATATTTTTTATATGTAACATATATAGATCTTATATAATGTATGTTATTCTTTGTTAAGCGGAAAGCGAAACTTTACATTCCTGTAGAGTTTTCAACGTCCAACCGGTAATTTTTTATATACATCCCAAATGTATTTTAACAATGATCTGTGTGTGTATGTATATTTTACATTTAAATTTTAAATAAAGACTTTATACACATCCTATCTTTCTTTTCTACGAGTACAGTAAATCACCACGCGTTCAAGCCAATTCAGTGTTTGTATGAACTTCAAAGCCACGTAAGATTCCATGACGAATATGTTTTCTGTAACTACAACATTATTATTTGTCACATAAAATGCTGAGGTAGGTAAAGGTGTAACAATAAAAACAGTTCATCTACTGAAGTTACGTTCTATTTATTAAATTATTGATTACAATTACATATAGTGTTGACACTAACAATGAAACAAAATTAAAAAAAAATAAAGACAAAAAATTAACAATCCAAATGTCAACAAACACTACACCACAAAGCTAAAAACATAAAAAAATATAGAACTGGACAAGTCTCTAGCGTTTTTACCCTACATTACCCATGTGATGTAGTGTTTTAGGATATAAGAGTAAATTTGACTTAAAGTAATCACTAAAACCACGATATACTATAAAAAAATAAATGTAAAAAATTCTAGTGTGTACGCGTGTACGCAATTAAACTGATATTTATGCCACAATTTAATTAGAAAGTTGTGTCCCTTAGGCCTATTAATGAGACACTAAAAAGATTTTTGTGGCATAAATAACATGATAAGATTTTTTTAGACATACTTCTACAGCCATGATCCTACTAAAAATAAGGTTATATAAATCAGTTAGATTACATTTTAAACATTTCTTTTTATATTACAAAACACATCAGACATTTATATGCAAACATTATGTTTACATCAGCTGATTTCGGTAATTATAGAATATGCTGACTAACTGGACCCAAAACCAGCCTTCTATTAGCAAAACCTCTGGTCCATGCTAAATCAACTTAACGTCAAAGACTGAGACAATTATTATCAAAATTATATCTTAAAACTAGTTAGCTATAATCCTATAATCAGATTTGCCGCGCTACAAAATAGGAAATTTTAAATCCAAGGCCGGCAAAAATGACACTTCAAAAAACAGCTATATATTAATCATGTTTTTCAGGCGAGTTTTCTTTGGTTGGCGACTGACTCCTAGATTTGCTTCCTTCCTTACTCATAGACCTAGAACGTGATCTATTCTTAGCCCCGTTCTCTTTTGAACACGACCTAGACTTAGATCTCTTACTGTGAGACCTCGATCGCGATCTGGATTTTGAAGCTTCTTTTGACTTAGAACGAGAACGCGATTTTGAATGTGCAGCTGATTTGCTCTTTGAACGATCCCTTGATTTCGAACGACTTGAACGATGTGAACGGCTTCTACCAAGTTAAACACCGGTTAAAACAAATAAATCAATCGTACAACAGTACGTTTTACCTAGACCTAGAACGAGAACGGCGTCGTGGAGATCTGGAACGAGAACGGCTGCGACTACTAGATGATCTTGATCTTCTACTACCGCGACGTCTATCTTCAACCAAGCGAATTCGACGACCATTCAATTCAGTGTCGTCCAACTTATCAATTGCATTCTTCATATCGGAATAGGAAGCAAACTCAACCACTCTGTAATTAATGAAAAGAAAAATGTACACCCGACATTACTTCAATCACAACATTTTTTAGTTCAAAAGTGTAATATATCAGTTAAAAAAAGGGTATCATTCACTTGGACTCAGCCCCGAAAGATGGTATAAGCATCATGTTAACACCATGTACAGTGTAAGAAACATTAAAAAAAAACTTCAATAAACCACCTATACACCAAATGACGGCACAACCAATATTAAATACTAATTGTTTTATACAAAAAAAAAGTATTATTGGTTCAAAACGTACTAAACCACTACAATATAATAACTGTTGTACTTACCCTTCATTCCTCCGTTGCTTATGAGCGTCTGCGTAAGTAACTTCACCAGCTTGACGCATGTAATCTTTAAGGTCCTACCACAGAAGAAAAAATAAACTTTATTAAAAATTTGTAAACAAGACTGGAATTTTGTAAAGAAAAAATTACCTGACTTCGACAAAGGTAAAATCCGAAACTTAAAAATAGAAATTTTCATTGTAAATCTAAGTGAGTCGTTTATTTTAAAATACTTTGTTACATTTTGTCAGCTTAAAATAACTAGCACACATCCACACGTCCTTTTTGTGATTTTTGTGTATGAGCGGTGAGGTGTATAAATCACAAAAAGAAAACCCCAATCAACATCAAAAAAAAACAACGTGGTTTTAAATATAAGACCCCAAAATTTTCGCCTGGTTGTAGCCGTCCCGAGGTTGATTCGTTGTCACCTAAAAGGGAAGCGGTAGCATTTGTCCGTCCTGTGATGGGAAATTGATAAAACATTTACTTTAACAAATTGTGTAACATTTAAAAATAACAAACACACAGTGCATACAAACATACCAGACAAAATGTAACCAAGTGTGAATCACATAACTGCGCGTCATGCTAGGGCATTACCTGAGGCATTTGTGCACGAGAAACCAGAACAGTACCAATGGAACGGCGGAAATACACATGACTGCCACTCGATCACATGGGTTTACCACATTGATTGAGCATTGATTGAGCGAGCCTAGAGATACCTCACACTCCAAGGGAATGGGTGCTCTTTACAAAAAAGTACTTTATTTTACATATTCATATGACATACTTAATAAGGGTTTTGATTGAAAACTGAAAATACTTGAAAAAGAAAATACAAAAATTGGATAGGAGTGGAAAGGTTCTATTTTAAATCGCTTTGTTTTTGAAATTTGAGAGTCTTCTGGAGACGCTCTCGCAGTCATAATGGAATATCTCGTTTGATCTTGACAGATGAAATGTTTGCCTTCATTTTGGAACATATTTCATCATCTACCATCATCGCAAATAGGAGATTGTAGACGGAAAGGGATACACCTCGCACGGATTTGCTCAATATGTGGTTACACTGGCCGTTCTCTCAACCGCTTTGCCCCAGAGATGGAAACGCAACCGTCATGGAAATAAACCATAGTAGACGAGTTACCCTCATTCGATCACTGGCCTCTACTTGGTTTATGCCAACCCTCATGGTTTCAAATGATAGGAATCTAATAAGGATTTAAGGACCCTCACCAAAATAATTTTCAATTCAACATGCATAGAAAATTCTCTTTTTTATAATAAATTTTAAATCAAGTTACCTGCCAGCTCACTCTGCTTGACAAATTTTCCACAATCAGTCGATACTCTGTTCTAGTTGGTGGACCATACCTTTAAACAAAATATAAACTTCAATTTCTAGTATCAAATTTCAATGTACATTTTTTTATTTATTTATAATTTTTTCAGTAATTTGGGAAAGTTGACATCAAACTATAATCAGACCCGAAAGATGTTTATCATCATTTCTTTAATTAACTTTACATAATACAAAGTCAATAATTATATTTACCTATCATGTGACCGCATGTCAGGTTCACGGCTATAAAAAAGATACTAGTATCAGAATTCAGCAACACCAAAATACAAAAATTTAATTTTGAAAATTTTGACTTATTTTTTCATTTCCAAAAGGCCAAAATATTTAAGGAATAAAAAACTTACTTATCCCTACTACGTCCTCTCGGGGGGCCGTATCCACGTCCACCGCTACCACGCCATTGATCACAACCTCTGGGAGTACCGCGGGCCCTCTCAACAGAAACTCTGTAAATAGCTCGTCAATATTTTCGCAATACATCAAAATAAAAATATACCGCTCCCCAAGCAGCTCCTTGCCATTTAACTCATAAACAGCATCATCTGCATCTCTATAGTCATCAAATTCCTGTAAAAAAATTTAGAAAGTTGAGCGACTTCGACCATAAGAAATCGAAAACTTACCACAAACGCAAATCCGTTCTTCATCGCAACTTCCTTAATACGTCCATATTTTCTAAAAAACTTCTCAATGTCCCGTTCTCTCACCCTGTATGTGAGACCACCAACAAAAACACGAGTTCCCATCTGTAACATGATTGATTAGCTTCAATCATTGATAATATTGACACGTTTTTCAATGTTTTCCAAAGTAAAAACGCAAAGTACTTGAAAATTGAATCGAAATACGGATTGTAATATTTTAAAGCGTTTACGTAATGTACTTGGCGGTACTTTGAGGGTGAAAGTTTAAACGGCTACCCTACCCCTTCCACCATATTTGCAAACTCAAAAAAATAATAAAAAATTATACCAATCATACTTATACAATAATTATTCGTCAGAAATTGTAAACTACAATATCAAATTAGACTATTTTAAAACCGTGACAATGAAAATAGATTTCATTTACTTAACGAAAACACGCCGTTTACTGTTGACTTATTGCGTCCAAAATTTCAGAAAGTACATAAATATAGACACTAATTTCAATTTTGTGAACAATATATTTATAAACATTACTAATGTGAGTACCACTAACCTTATTTGGAGAAGTATTTGTGGCAATAACGAAGAAAATAAACTACCAACTCGACACAACTAAAGTAATGGCGGTGTTCTACAATAGCCAATGCCTGGTGTACTTCAAACTACGCCTCATTTTCAAAAAACATTACTATTGCAGCAAGTTATATACGAAAAGCCAAAAAGCCAATACAATTTTATTAGGCAAGACATTTTGAGTACTTAATTTTAATTTTTAGGTGCTAAATAAGTATTTTTTCGGTTTTAAATTTCAAAAACATTACTGGGTCCGAGATTAAACTAATGCGCGCGCAATTACCAAAATATGAAATTCAGATTCGGAGAAAAGTAAATTCGGCTTATCTCACACTCCACTTAATTGTTAGGCAGCCTTATTTATTTGTATCTATAAAGATAACATAATTTGTTGAGATGTTGAGAATTTCAACCTATAAATGGCGTAAAATTGTCTCCAGCTTTTTTTCTCACCTTCTTTAACTAATTACTAGTTTTTTCAAAAATTGCTCGTTTATTATTACAAAGCAAGTAAAACAACAAAAATTTGCTTATTTGGCCAAAAAATCTATTTCAGTTGCGACAATTGTTGACGTAATTCTAAGTATAAATATTGTTACATCATTAAAATCATTGTAATTTGTCAAATTTCCCGCACTGAATCGACCGACAGGATATCCTGCCATCTTTCATAATCTGAAGTTAGTGTAGTTGATTGTTTTGATAGCAACCACGAAATGTGAGGTTATGTGATAAAGATGTATAATTAAATCTCATTCATATAGGAATTAAGAAAGTATAAGTAAATTACGATTGTTTTAACCGGAATAACACACTCCACAGCCATGGCACATAATTTTAGGAATAGTTACGAAAAAACATTTAAAGTATTGGGTAATTAAACAAGGATTTTCTGTGTCGTGTCATAGAAATCGTTTTAATTAATATTTTCAGACAATAGTGAAGCTAAACTGCATCACGAGTTGAATGGGAGCACTTCGAAACCCATCCATGTACAGCGAGTTGAAAGGGCGGTGCAATTAAATAATTTTCTTAAAGAGGTCGATTACCAGTTGGATGAAAATAGTAACAGCGACGATTCAATTGATATATCTAACAATTTTGATAATTTATTGAGAGGTGAGTTAATGGAATTATTATCTTGGTTTTAGTGAGTTTAATTTTAGAGTCAGAATCACATTCGACCAAAGATTATTATAACTTGAAACATGTGTCACAAAGGAGGGCTTGGTTGGCTGAGGTGTTACAAGAAAATGCTGATAGCACCCCAGAAGATGCACAATATAAACACATAACTAAATTACACACTTGGCAAAAACAAATACGCAGTACAAAAGATGTATTTTTTCTTTATAATGTAAGAACGATACTTATAATGCATTTTAGGTCGATTTTAAACGTTATATTTATTACGGATCTGGTTTATTAAGCGAAATTGATAGGTATCCTGAAATAGAAAAGTCACTCCCCGTTAAAAATGTTAAAAAACGGCACGTTAAAGAAGAAACGTCAAAATCGCCGCTGTACCCCCCTGAAATCCTCGAAGACATTTCAGTATTTACTTTTAAATCATTTTTTCGTATTATTTAAATTTTTGTTTAAGGATGAGCCATGTATAGGTCTGTCGTTAGACAACGTCATAGATTTTCAAAATCTCGATGAAGACTCTAATATAAATTCCGATTTTGGTCAACCAGTTAGTCAAACTTCACATCAAACGAATACATCACATAGTTCAAATAAGAAGAGAGTAAAGAAATTTAAAGATGAAGAATCTCGGAAAAAGTGGGAGGACATGATGAAAGTAAAACGTAAAAAAGTATTTACAAACATGGCGAAAAAAGAAATAGGAAAACAACACCGTTCTAAATTAAACAAACACAAAGAAATGTTGATACAGTGTCGGCGGGTTGCACAACAGTGTCTTAAATATGGCAGACAGAAAGCTGTATGTTATTTTTCAAAGAAGAATTTTAGGTTAATTTGATTATTTTAGCTCCAATCTGCACGTACAGTTAAAGAACAACAATGGCGAATGAAACGCTTATCCCGTGAAAATATTGCATACTGGAAACGCTCAAGACGATTCGACAGAGAGGTGAAGAAACGCTTAGAAAAGGAAGCAGAAGAACAAAGAAAAATAGACCACGAGTTAATCGAAGCCAAACGCCAGCAACGCAAATTGAACTTCCTTATAACACAAACCGAACTTTACGCCCATTTCATGTCGCGAAAACTAGGAAAAGCATCACCCGAAGAGCAATTACGAATTTTAAGTCAGTTAGACGAAGAGCGGAGTTCCCGATTATTGAATATTGACGACTACGATAGCGAATTGATGAAAGAGAAAGCGAAAAGAAATGCACAAGAGGCGTTTCAGAATGAGAAAGCGAGAACTCGTCATTTTGACATTGAGGCAAAATCCTCAGTCGACGTGAATTCCATTGACGGGGAGCAGCCCCAACCCAGTATTTTTCAAGGGAAACTCAAGGGCTACCAGCTTAGAGGCATGAACTGGTTGGCCAACTTATATGCTCAGGGAATTAGTGGAATCTTGGCCGATGAAATGGGTTTAGGAAAAACGGTGCAAAGTATCGCGTTTTTGTGCCATATTGCGGAGAGATACTGTAGGTTTTTCTGATGATTTGCTTTGATACAGTCGTGAATTTCAGCGGTTTGGGGACCATTTCTTATTATATCACCCGCGTCCACTTTACATAACTGGCAACAGGAAATTGCGAAATTTGTGCCTAATTTTAAAGTCGTCCCCTATTGGGGAAACCCAAACGTAACACACAACAAATTTTTGTTTATTTCGCTAAAGTTTTTTTCTAGGAAAGAAAAATTTTGCGCCAGTTTTGGGATCAAAAAGACATCTATACAAAAGATGCTAGTTTTCATATAGTCATCACTAGTTATCAGATTGTTATCACAGATATTAAATATTTTAATAGAATTAAATGGCAATATATGATTCTGGATGAAGCTCAAGCGATTAAAAGTACAAGTAGTATGAGATGGAAGACACTTTTAGGTTTTAGTTGTAGAAATCGTCTTCTTTTAAGTGGCACACCTATACAGAATAGTATGGCCGAACTCTGGGCCTTACTCCATTTTATTATGCCAACACTTTTCGATTCACATGAGGAATTTAACGAATGGTTCTCAAAAGATATCGAGAGTCATGCTGAAAACAAAACTGGAATTGACGAAAGTATGAAAATCAACTAGCAATTTGATTAAAAGTTATAACAAATCAATTTTAGAGCATCTCTCACGTCTACATATGATTTTAAAGCCATTTATGTTACGCCGGATCAAAAAAGACGTCGAAAACGAGCTTTCCGATAAAATTGAAGTGATGGTTTACTGTCCCCTCACCACGCGCCAGCAACTTCTATACATGGCTCTTAAACAAAAAATTAAAATTGAAGACTTGCTCCACTATAGTGTTGGTGGTGGTGATTCACACACAGTTGACAAAAACTTCACCTCTAACTTGATGAATTTAGTGATGCAATTTAGAAAGGTTGTTTTTCATTATCAAGACTTCCACTTTTTATTGTGACTTGTAGGTGTGTAACCATCCGGAATTATTTGAAAGAAGAGATGCCAAATCGCCAATTCATATAGCACCTTGTGTGTTTCGAATCCCATTTTTAATTTATGATTTTAATGTCACCGCTGCGTTAATGATGAAATTGCAAAAATATTTTCTATTTACGCCTGGATACATCGCAAAAGCGGTTACGAATGATTTTAATGATACGATTTTTAGAATATATCGAATTTTAAATTTATCATTTTATGAATTCTATATGATTTTACAAGGTGATGTAAAGACTAGGTAGGAACAATTGCAATGAAGTGTGTTTTCTAATCATGGAATTTTAGGTGGACGCACTATTTTAATAGTGAAAATGAAGATGAAATTTTGTATCATCGATACTTTTGGAGTGAGGGTTTTGTACCCTCAATTCGTATGAGATATATGTTTAGACTCACTAACGCTAATATAAAAACTAGTAGTATTTTACCCGAGTTAATATTTACGCAAAAAAATTCAGGAAGTCGCGTTTTTTACACACATACTGATCAGTATTATTATTCCATGCCAGAAACAGTTGAACATAGAAATATTAGATGTAAAAATGCGCTAAATAATGAAGAAGATACCATTATTGATGTGGTAACTGACGAGTCTCCTCTCACTGAGGAAGTTGTAAGTAAATTAATCACTTTAAAACTCAGTTCTAATATTATTGTCAGAAATTAGAAGGTGGTGAAGCTGGCACCTACAGAGATGAAAAACCTCGCATACAAAAACATTCACTAACTGACTTACCTTCATTTCTATTCTGTACGATGCCTAAGGTAATTACATATTTTTATTATCTTATATAAATACAATAAGTAATAAATTTTCGCTCTAGGTGACAAGTACCTTCCCCAATTTGTATTGTTATTCACGAAGAGTAGCTTGGCTAATCCGACGTCACATTTATGAATTTAGTTATAATTCTCTTAATCACTATTGGTCACAAGCGACGGGACACAGGAACTGCAAATCTGCGGAAACTTTATATCCTCAACCATTAAATGCTATTGATGTTCTCAGGCCCTTGAAAGGCTGGTCCTACATCGCCATTCCAGGTACTGGTTTATTTAGGTTGGTTAAATTTTGTCTAATTGCAATATTTCAGATAAGGAAACACTAGTCACCGATTCAGGAAAATTGTCGGTGCTTGATGGTCTTCTCAAACGTCTAAAAGAGGAAGGCCATAGGGTTTTGATTTACTCCCAAATGACAAAAATGATCGATTTGCTAGAAGTACGTTTTCTTATGTTGATTAATGAGTTATCTTATCACTGTAATTGTAGGAATATATGTGGCACAGGCATCATAAATACATGCGTCTTGATGGTTCTTCTAAAATATCAGAGAGACGTGATATGGTTGCAGATTTTCAGGCCAGAACTGATATATTTGTTTTCCTCCTCTCCACACGAGCTGGCGGTTTGGGAATTAATTTGACAGCTGCTGATACCGTAAGTACCAAAATTACTTCAACTGCATATTTTTTTGTCTCGGACATTAATCAAACGGGAGGTAAAACGTCAACTTGCAACGTAATTTTGATAATTTATGTGAGTGTTTTCATCGCACGATTGTTATTAACGCGATTACCAACGTGTAAAACTGGCTTTGTTACACGATTTTTCTAGATATTTATCGTAAAAATTCAATTCAACGAATGTTCCCTCAAAGTTGCAAAAATTAACTAGTTATTCCGGTGTTTTCATTATTAGTTAGGCTTGCGTTTGTAAGAGGGCGCTAACATCATTGTGATGTACATTTTTAATAAATGCTATACGCAGACCGTGTACGGCCTTGCCCAAGGCGCTCAATTTTTTATCTATTGTCATTCATTTTAATTTTTTATTCTGAATTGAATTTTCGGCAACATTTTTTAAACGTTGCATCATTTTTACAGATCTTCACCATGACGAGACTTATTTTAAGTAAAAAACGGATTCACAAGTTTTATTTAACCTTGAGAGCAATGGTTTTAAATTGACCCCAGCAATTTTTTTTCTGTTACTAAACTTGAATCGTTCAGGTCTGATCTTCAATATTCTAGATATTCAAAATGAATCAAATTAAAAAACCATTAGAAGTTTATATTTTTGTCTTTATTGATTCCTTAATTCCTTTTCACAATATTAGGTAATCTGTATGTAAAATATGGGAAATAATAATTGGTTATAACAAGAATATTCAAGGTCTGACTAGTCATATTTATGAATGGTTTCTCAAATATATTGAATTTACGAGGCTAACGCTATGTAATGAGTGTCCAGATTTATTTGCACGTTGAAACTTGTTTTATATTTGATGACCAAAAAGTTGCATAAATCATTGTATTGATGAAATGTTTGTACAGACACATTATTCGAATAGGCATTACAGTTTTCTGTACTAGATCTACTATGTAATCACAAAATTGTGCAGCCGGTAACAAATTTCATTCATCGAATATAAATTGTCGTCCAGCTGTCAAATTAAAACTAGGTCGCATATGCCACTCGTATTGAAAACTGAAGTCATTGATGAACTCCTTTTGTAAAATTGCAGAATTGTGAATATAGAAATATTAATATTTTTATACTCGCTAATATATTGTTAATGACTGTGCATCACTGTTTAATTCAAATAGTTTCCGTTTCCTTTTTTCTACAATAAAATACTTCTAATTCTAAAATTTCGTACTTGAAAAATTCCTTTTCTGAATAATGCTTTGTTTGTGCCGAAAAAGAGCCGAAAGTTGTAGCGATTATTTGCATACCGTGTTAAAAAGAAGTTCGTCTGAGCATTTTTTGTTCGAATTTAGTATGCTCATTGTATGCTACCTGTTAGTGGTCGGTGAATACTGCGGAATGCCCTGACGTATGCTACGGATTTGCTGAGAACCTTTCAGCGCTGGTCTCCCAGCATGTTTGTTTGAGTACGTGGACAACGCATCCGTTCAACAGTGGCGTCGATATAATTATAGCGCGAAAATATTCCAACAAATTTCATTCACAACGACTATCGCGATTTAATTAATCTCAAGTATTTTAATTGTTAACATAAATTTATTTTCACCATGATTTAAAAGGTTACAAATAAGATTTTTGCACCACTCAGAAAAATATTGCGCTCTGTTAAAATTAAGGTTTGAACTACTTGACAAGGCAATAAAACTAACCATTATTTCAAAGGAGTGCAGCAAGTAAATGTTTTTAATTCTTTCTTTCTCGAAACTCTATTCATTTAAAAACATGATGGAAGAAGAGCCTAATCATTATTTCTCATGTCTTAATTATTTTTGGCATTTTTTGTGTCGTTTCTGGCTTAGCTAATGATTTTTTCGTCTCTTGTAATTAATTCGGTGATTTGGTGGACATTATGAGCCCTAATGTAAAAGTGGGCAGTAAATTAAATGACTTAATAATCGTTGCTGTGTTTACCTATTGGAGGTTGCGCCACTTTACAACATTTTAAATACATGTTTGGCATAATTAAATGTAAAATAGGTAGTTTCGTGTATTCTTGATGAGGTATTATTTGGTCGCGCCGCTGGCAAAAATATTATTATTTGTCTCGTGTTGTAGGAAATACGCGACAAATTCCATTGGGGTTTAACCGACATTTATCAAGTCATATTGTAGGCGTGAGAAAGGTGTTATCGTAGAATATTTCGTTAATTATTCGTGTTCCATTTGTTAAAGACTGAACGTGCAAGGAATTTATTTAACTTTCTGGTTAAGAAAAGTAGTCTCTAACAGACTTATCTAGCACAGTCGAATTGTTTCTTCCGGTTCAGTAAGCCGGAACAAACTCAGCAATGAATTTTGCGAAACCGTCTAGCAAGGCAGGAAAATGGGAAATGAAGATAGCGAAATAATCACACTTAATACATTTTTTTCTTATTCACGTTTTTCACGAAAGTTTATGTCTATTTAAATCTAAATGAATTAAATTATTGATTTTAAATTTAATTTAGTTAGTGATGGGCAAAAACCTTTAAATAAATTAGATTAGAAAACACTGCCGCAACATCTCATTAGAAAATTAAACAATAAACACATTGACACATAAATTGAAATTGAGTGTTATTCAAGTCTTGTTGAGTCGTCGATTGACTTACTGATTTATAATCAGATTCTCAGAAGAATTGAATTTTAATTCGTCACTGGAACTGTGCGTGCTGCATGTATGTGGCGGAGTGATTGTAATTAGTCTATTAATCGATTAGTTCATTCATGAACCATTAACTTTATTTTCATTTATTTAATTAAAAAGCGCAACAACAATATCTTACATATTGTAATTGTTGCTTATTTTTCCAGAACTTCATGTAATAGAAAAATTGCATATTTCACTTTTTACAGAAAAAAGTCATATTTGTAGCGAACAGCAATCAAAATAAACTCACGCCAACATTAATTATTTACGTATGCAAAAGATTGCAAAATCTTATTAAGATTAAATACTACAGCCTTCTCCATTTTTTATTTTACCTGAATTATATGTTAATTACTTAAATTTTGTATGGGCGCTACTGACATAACATTTTTTATATTAGTGTTGCATAACATCGTAGGAATAGGCTGTGCAGACGCAAAAATGTCTAATTGCACGATTAACGACGATTGACATAATTATAGAAAATTCCTGTCTAGCAGTGTTAATTTACTTGCATTAATTGCCGCAAAAAATATCCAATAACAATAATTATTAAATCACTACTCAAATGAAATCACTGATAAAAGTTTAAGGTTATTAGAAAATCATATATAAACACTTTTTTCATCAAACAAGTATGGAGTTTTTTTTTTTAATTTAGAATTTACCCTTGGAAAACCCAATATGTTCAATAAAAATTTTAGGTGTTTAAAGTAAATATTTCTTTCGGGGAAACAGATGAGGTCTCTATTTGTTCAGCTAGTGTTTCACACATCTAGATAAACGTAAATGTTGCATAATAGTAGGAGTGAATTGGTAGGAGTTTGTCTGTTTGAACCGGTATCATATAACCGATGTATTGAAAAGCACTTCTTAAAAACCGAGATTGTTCTTTGCATAATATACCGGATATACAGAGTAGTTCCGTGCCACTTCCTGCCACTCGCACGTGTAGGATCGTATATCGAAGATCATCGAGTGGTAGTCTCTTCCGATGGCCACCCCTACACTTAGTAGTGCAATTACCGAGGCATTGAAATATTAAAAAATATTAGAATCTGTAACCGCGATTTTGTTTGTAGGTAATATTTTACGATAGCGATTGGAATCCAACGGTAGATCAACAAGCTATGGACCGAGCTCACCGTCTCGGCCAAACTAAACAAGTCACTGTGTATAGACTTATTTGTAAAGGGTCAATCGAAGAACGAATCCTACAAAGGGCTAGAGAGAAAAGCGAAGTAAGTTTTTTGGCATTAATCGCCCCATTGGGTTTTAAACCCCCGTTTTAGATTCAAAAATTAGTCATTAGTGGAGGCAATTTCAAACCCGACACTCTAAAGCCAAAAGAAGTCGTTTCTTTACTCTTGGATGACGCTGAATTGATTCATAGATGTAAGCGGGTGGTTTTTTCAATTTCTTTTATTATAATGCGATATTTCAGCTGAAAAGTTAAGAGTCGATTTTAACAAAACGAAAGATGATGACAAGGAATTGGAAAAAAAGAGAAAACACATGCTCGCTTTTAAGGTAAAAACACATTTTATCTAATTAAATTATTCGTTTGTTTTCATGTGTGTTTAAATTAAATCGAGGAGAAAACAATTTTTCTAATTATATTCAGACAATTCCGGCCGTCCCCGAGCTGAAAAAAAGCAAGTCGGACAGCAGCCAAGAGACTTACATAGAAGACTGGAGCAGTACTTTCGACAGTGGTCCAAGTAGTCCCCACAGTGTGAATTCTCCGGACGTGCTAACTGACGATATGGCAGAAAGTGGCTATGGCGAAGAAGACTCTCCAATTACTAACAGTAAATTTGCTTCCGTTTTTTATATGTTGTGTAATAATGATAATGTATAATTTCTGTGCAGAATACACTGTTTATAACGTGTATGGTTCAACGGTAAAGCCGCGGATTCCGGGACGAGGAGGATCGAGACGAGGACGACCTCGCGGTTCGCGAAGGATGTCAAGCTTGGGACGAACAAATAGCAACATTTCATCTACAAGTACCAACGGTGGTGAGTAAAATAATCGAAATTATTCTGTCTTTTATTGGAGACACAACTTCGGTTTTTGTTTGCTACCTGTGTGATCTGTAATGCTCTGAATAGAACAAGACTTGTTTTCAAAGGGTTTCCGTGAGGATATCCGCCAGATGTATTTATAAATGCGTCTTGTTGTTCTCCGATTATTTTAGAAATTACAGTCTGAATGGACATTATTACTTTGAAATATTCGATCGGTTTTCATTTTTATCACAATTGTCAATGCGATCTTGAGATAACGGTTGTCAAAAGCAACATAAATATTTTTCCTGGACAGTTGATAACAGGATGTTGGACCATTAATTAAAATCTCCAAAATTACAGCTAGTAGTTTCGATGTAAATTAATATATCCGGTTCGAAATAATTAAATTTTAAAGTTTTACAATCAACGCTTCATTTAATTAAAATCATTTTCAATCTTTGTTGTTTGTGATGACCTCAATTTTATCTTTACGAATCAGTAAAGAAGCCGAAACGCTTTGATCGCATGATATTTGTTTTATATAATTAAAGGAGTTAAAAATATGTACACCCACTAAACGTTTTCTCTGAAATAACGTATTTTCATTAGTATAGTGCGGACAAACATATATCAAATCAATATTTCGTAATTTGGTCGAATGTGTGGGTGTATAATAAATAATATTCGCTTAGATATAATGTCGTGAGTATTTATTGCAGAAAATGAGTATTCTACAAACAACCAATCAACTTTGACTTCGCCAACCTCGAGTAATTATTTAAACGTTCCTCTTGGAGTTAGTGGTAGTCAATCGCCAAATCTTGCGATACGGAGAGGCCCCGGACGTCCTAGACTAAAACCAACAGGACCTCCAAATACAGGATCAAGAGGAACATACAGACCTAGAAAACCTGCGAGACCTTTGCCAGTCCCACTGCCATCTGACGGTTCAAATGTCAGTTGTTCAACTTCTGGAACTAGTGCGACACCTTCTTACTCCACTTACCTATACGATCTTCCTGATCAAGATTCGTAGTTTTTTTATTTTTTATTTATTAGACAACGTCTTTTTAACACAATAGGTACATATAGTAATTTTATGACATAATTAATTTTAAATTAAAATTTGGACTAAGTGATCTATTTATGTTGTTAATTTAATAAAAACTTCACAAATGAGTTGCTTCTTTGTCGGATTCCGGACTGTCCACCGTGAGAAAAACTGTTGACTTGGCGGAAATAAATATAACATACGTGGAAGATTATAAAAAGCAAAATAAATATGCAATTATCTAGTTATAAAAATCACAAGCGTGTCGCAAGTAACGTACCGATTTTTTTTACTTTTGCCATGTAATAACGTTGCAGAAGTGTAGCGAGGCCCTGATGGCGCATCATTTGCGTAAATGCTGTACATTATCGATCCTTTATTTGGAGCCTCTTCAGAGTTCATAGACTCAGTGCGAGGAGACGGAATTCACTTAAAACATGAGAGTAGCGCTAAGAAATCTAAATCCGTCCAGTGCCTCAGCCGCCACAAGCGTCGCGATGCCTCCCGCCACTGTCGATCGGCACCAGTATTCCCTAGCGACGTTCTAAAGACGACGATTCTCCGTTCGTTCGGTTCTTATTGCGCGACTACTCCATCAATGGATGCAAAATCCGAACCGGAACATTATACAAATTCACGTGTAATTTCGATTGCAAAAAACAGCAGTTATGACACTCCTCTCAACACCATGTAAATAACATTGCAGGATGTGTTACTCCTAAACTCTAAATAAAACACGAATCAATCAATAGTTTTAATTAGGTGAGTGCTAAACGCCATAGTTCACGATTGTACTGACACCTGAAATAGAATAATTTTGATGAAGCAAAACAAGTAGTACAGAAAACAGACACGATATATTTATATCTCACTTAGAAGAGGTCGAGTTTGTAATTCGCTAAATATAAATCGCTGAAAATTTTTAACCCTTGAGAATCTTCAAAGTGTTTACCGAAAATGAACGCAAGTCGACTCTCTGTGGTGGAGTAACCACTAACCGATTTTTCAGTGCTTAACATGAGTGTCAGTGAAGTCCTACTTTCCTCCAACATGTGATAACACTGCCAAATGTGCTGTTTGTGTATAATAAATCAAAATTTAAGTGCTTATTAAAACCATGAGCAAAATGAAATTTTTGGTAAGTATCAGTGTGAAAAAAACCTAACAGTCCTATTAATACTAATACCTAAAAAAGGGGACTCCCACTTTATTCTACCATTTCGCACAGGGATACTAGTGACGAATTTAGCTTGACTGTACTATTATCAGTGTTTGAATGGCGTTGGAAAAAAATTACGTAATTGTTACTAAATTTAGATAGAAGCAATGTCAAGTTCAAATTTCAATTCTTTTTTTTTTGAACTGTTGATACTTCCCTCTGAAAGTTGTTAAATGCCATTAATTTTACTTAAGAATTTAGAAGTGTCACCCGACTATTAAAATTGTTATAGTCTATCTTAAATACAAACATTACACCCCAAGACATTTCACCCTTTTATCTATGTACATAAGGGAGGACTTGTAACGGAAATAGGTTATCTAGATAAAGTGAAGATATAATTTTTCAGTGTAAGAAGACACTGTATAAATAATAATTAGTTTATGCAAATTTAACAAGACATTATAAGCTCCATTCATTGTAATTAAATATGGCGACATTTTATACTAATAGCTCTCGAGTAATTTATTCAAGACAGATGCGGGCCTAGGACACCGTTATACGGGAATAGTAATAATAATAGTGACGAATATATGTATTACCGATCTTAAGCCACTTGCTATAGTTTTTTCAAATCAAGGTTAAAACGCCTAAAGGGGCCCCCAGGTTGAAACACCAGCATTCTTTTTTTAATTTAAGTTAAAGCGGGAATAAATAAGCATTTGAAAGTAGAAAGGGGTGGCTGAAAAAGTAGTTTCAAACACTTTCATTCATTTATCAAATCTCGTTGGCTGGAAGAAGTGCATTTTGCCAAGCCGAATGAATAATGGCCGATATTTCAGGATTCGACCTGAATAAAAAGATAATTGTCGGGTGTTTATAAACAACATTTAAAGAAATTCTTCAGTTTGAAATACACGTCTGTTGCTAAATAAAATGTCTTGAAAATGTAGCCTTGTCCTTGGTTACAATTTTCTCTTTCACGACTGGATAGTTGAAATGTTTTCCAACAGAATAAACCCGAGAATCAATAAATTCTTTTGTGCGCGCCGATTAGACAATTAACACAAACAGAAATAAAAGTCGTGTTACAGGTCTCTACTGCCTTAGTGAATGCCACGAGAAACGATCTATTGCTATTTTAAGTTTCCAGACACCGTGTTGCCAAATGTGAAAAAAAAAAGAAAACAGATGTGCATGTGCAAGATGATACTACTAAAAAACACACAATTTCACCGTTCCAGCTATTTTCTCTACTATTCTCCTTTCAACAAGTTAGTCGTATTTATTTTTACTAATAGATTACAAGGAACAATACATCAACAGTAGCGGGGAAAAATCCCCATCCCTTATTTTTTGTTTGTCTTACACTTATTTTTAATCGATTGTTTATTTTTATATTAAAAGGGAATAGCGATCATCAATCCGAATTTAACATCTTTCACAAGAGGTAATTACAGTTTTATTTGTTTATTTTGAGAATACTTTATCTGTGGTACCAAACATTTCATTTTTAGAGTTATTACTTTTTAATGGTTTTTTAACAAAAAGAGATCGGCTTAAATTACCGTGAAACAATGTAACATACGTCATGTAAAGCAATAACGTGATTATCTCAAATGACAGAAGCAACACCGATTGCATGGAAAAGCAGATGCGCTTGTACAGGTAGTAAAAAAAATTATAATGAGATTTTATAGCCTCATATTATTAAAAACCTCGGTCCAACTGACTAAGCAGTTGTTTCCTTACCTAATTAAGTTCTTTTGTATAATTTTTTGTGAGGCCCTGAAACACCCCCGAACGTCGTGTTGGATGATGTATTATCCTGGGAACAGATTGGCACATTCAAATATTTCCTTAAAAAACTATAGTTCACAATTTTTGGCGCGGCTAAATAAGGGGTTGTTTATTTACCATCTGCTTAACACTCTCAAAAAACGTTGTAATTTTAAAAATTCAACTTAATTGGCTTGCGTGATGTGATTAGACATCGTTCTTGTGCAAATTATCAACATTTACTATGCCTACAAGAGCCAGTCTAAAGGGCATCAAGCTTAATTCCGACAGTGTCAAGATCGGACAGAGATAACTTCCGTAATTATAAACTATTTCACGGCAGTTTTCCTGTCGCAACTCCAAAATTTATAACACAATTTTCGCACTCTACGACGTCATTAACGCGTTTGGTAAGCACCACCGGAAGTACATTAAAAGAACTTCATCATTATCATCGCCCTTTCGTTAATGTTCAATCTGTGCGAGCTTTAGCTATTTTTTAACACCCATCAGAGAGGCATCTCTAGCAAACAGGGGTGCATACATCTGAATATTTAACAATTTATTAAATTCGCTACACACAAGTAAAACCTTCGCCCGGCCAGGAAAAAACCACAGCGTGGCTTATTATCTTGAAAATTCAAGCTTATCCAAACCAAAGTGCATATCTAATGAACATTCTCGTGACGTCAAGCTCACCAATACGCTATTCGGCCAACTTATTAATAGACAGTTTCATGTCCTCTTTAATTCATCTATTAATAAGCGATGGTTAATTGATAAAAACGAGGTTACGTCGTGCCTTACGTGATATAACTAGTTTTTTTTTTTTCAAACTGTGAGAATTAAAAGCGTAAGAAAGTAGGAGTGTTGGTTTCGGTGAGTGGACGCGGTGTCTTCATGACTCAAGGCATCCGGTCAGCCGTCGGCGGAACTCCGCATGGTGGCCCCCAGACCTGCTCTATCTTTTACTGGACACTAAGACTAGAGAAAACAATAAGAATTACAACTGGACTAGAATGATTTGTACCTATTATCTTTACTAAAAAATAGAAAATACGTTACAACCCCTCTTTATTGACCAAACGCTCACGGAATATCAAGAAAAACTTCTTCCACTACCACGTTTGACAATTTAATGACGTTTTAATTACATTAACATAAAATGCGAGTGTTATCATTTTATAGATAAATTAAAAAAGCAGCCTTATTTTTCTGAAATTTAGTTTAAAAGTAATTAATAAGTATGTTAGAAGCTAGATATTCTGAAAGGTGCTCAACTACGGGTTATTAAGACAGCTTAAGAGCTAAGAAAAAGTTATTTAAACTTTACTTAATTGGAATCGTATGACTAAGTATGAAGTAATTTAAACTAAATACTGCGATCAGTTATTTAACTTGAATGAAGAAATAGTGTTTGATTAGCGAGTTGTATTCTCTATTATTTTATCAGAAATCAAACAGGATTTAATTTAGTTTACACCAATTTTTAATAATTAGTTGAAAGAATAATTGAAGAGTTTTTTCGAGGGTTATTTTTGCCCACTTTGTGAATAATTAATGCAGATTTATTTATCCTTTGGCTTCTTTCGTGATGCGTTAACTTTTTTCAGTTCAAGAGAAAAATGAAATTCATATTTAGAAATTTGATTGATGTTGCTTATTTTAGAAACTTTAGCAAATATGTTCGATATTTTCTACTCTATAAATTATTAATAATAACAATAGAGAACTGACGATATGTTTGACTGTCCGCATTTTTGTACAACATGTGACATGAAAGTAAAGAACATTTTTTAATATGTGTATTTAAATGCAAAATGTATCGTCGAAAGGGTATAGAAAACGAAGACATAAATGAAATGTTTGGCCAACTCTAAAAGGATTATTTAACTCAAGTCCTATCATTCACTTGTAAACATATGTTTGTAACCTTGGCATATGCCAATATAATTGTAACCTGACGTTAGCTTAGCTAAAATGACGTTTATTACGTCACATGCACCTATCTCAGTAATTTTATGCTAAAACGCTCACTTTTAAATTTCATTGTCTCGATTTTTGTAAATTTGAGATATTATGATATCGAACGCGTAAAAATAAATAACATTTACATAACTATTTCGTCGATCGCGTTGAAATATTTTTGTATACAGGATGTCCGTTTTTCGAGCTCCACCATGGGGATCTCAGTTATTATTACAAGATACGAGGTCGGTTAAATTAGAGCAAAGTTGGGTATTTTTATGCTGAACAATTATCTGAAAGAAAATTTAATGTGTCATTTTTAGTTTTTGAATTATTGCAAAAAAAACGAAAATTTGTAATTTTCGTTTTTTTTTTCAGGCGAAAACTAAAAGACCTAGACGTTTTTAACTAGGACGTTCTTAAGGCACTTTTTTTACAAGGAATCTAAATCTGTCATCGTATTTTCCGAGACGTTCTTGATGTCAGAGTTTGGATTTTCTTATAGACGCCATATTCGATTTCTGTATTTTTGAAAAGTCTGATCGTGATCACAACAATGTATCACACGATACGATCAAATCTTACATGCTGATCAAAATTGGGAAATAGTCAATTACAAGCAATTACAATTACAATTTTGTGCTTATTTTAAGACTTTATGTAATATACAGGTGCGCCAGAACTCGCGCCCCAGAGAAAAATGCCATTCGATCTATATATAAAATTTCGAAATTATGAGAGTTTAAATTTTGCAGTTTGACTATTTATTTCTGTTCAAAAAAATAATTTTTCAATTTTTTTCCTTACCGGCTATTAGAAGAGGAAACAAGGAAGTTGTATAAATTGTAACTCTGTTTAATGTTATTTGTGGCTTTTATTGGTAAAATTTTTGTACCTTGACTAAATAATTGTAGAAAACATATACAAGATCATCAGTATTATTAAATAGTCATAAAAACATGTCAAATGTTAAAAAATAAATGTCAAAATTTTTTGACTTAGAATTTTTTAAACATTTTTTTCATGTTCCTGGTATCTTATGTTACTTAAAATTTTTCTCTAGGGCGCAAGTTCTGACACATCCTGTATAGAATACTCGTATTTTTTTCGAGAGGATTAGTGGAATAATTTATTTTTTCTTTTACTTATTTAAGAATTAAAAGAATAAAAAAGATATTTTATTCCAGCGTTCGTGTTAATTATAAATTAAAAACAATATTTGTTGTGTGCAG